CTGGGGGAAGTAGGAAGGGAGAGAGAATAGGCGGGCTCGCTGTGTACACGGGAAAAGGAAGAAGCGGCGGCCACTGAATCTTTGGTGCTTAGAATCTTCTTATATCGCAGGTGTAAGATTATCTGCAGATCTCCTCCCCCCCCACTCGGTCCGTCGGGAGGTGAAACCCAAGGCTATCCTCTCACTTGCCTCCTCGCGTTATAGAAGAGAACAAAACAACGAAAAGGGAATGGCAATAACAGAGTTATGTTGTTTGCTTATTTGTTCTCTGGTTTTGAGTAAAAATTGGTCTCTGGTTTTCGAGTAAAATTGTTTCTCTGGTTTCGAGTAAAATTGTTCTCTGGTTTCGAAAAAATTGTCGGTAGAGAATAAAATTGTTCTCAGGTTTCAGGAGTAAAATTGTCCTACTGGTTTCGAGTAAAAATTGTTCTCTGGTTTCGAAGTCCAAAATAAAATTGTCCTCTGGTTCGAGTAAAATTGTTCTCTGGTAATTTCCGAGTAAAATTGTCTCTGGTTTCTCTCTTTGAGTAAATTGTCTCTGTTTCGAGTAATAAAATTGTTCTCTGATTTCGAGTAAAATTGTTCTCTGGTTTCGAGTAAAATTTGTCCTCTGGTTTTGAGTAAAATTGTTCTCTGGTTTTGAGTAAAATTGTTCTCTGGTTTTGAGTAAAATTGTCCTCTGGTTTTGAGTAAATTCTTCTTCATGGTTTGAGTAAAATTGTTTTCTCTGTTATTGAGAATAAAATTGTTTCTTCTGGTTTCGAGGAGGAAATGTTCTCTGGTTTTGAGTAAAATTGTTCTAATGGTTTCGAGAATAAAATTGTCCTCTGTTTCGAGTAAAAATTGTTCCTCTGGTTTCGAGTAAAATTGTCCTCTGGTTTTCGAGTAAAATTGTTCTCTGGTTTTTGAGTAAAAATTGTTTTCTGGTTTTGAAGTAAAATTGTTCTCTGGTTTTGAGTAAAAATTGTTCTCTGGTTTTGAGTAAAATTGTTCTCTGGTTTTGAGTAAAATTGTTCTCTGGTTTTGAGTAAAATTGTTTCTTTCTGGTTTTGAGTAAAAATTGTTCTTCTGGTTTTGAGTAAAAACTGCCTCTGGTTTCGAGTAAAATTGTTCTCTGGTTTGAGTAAAATTTGTTCTCTTTTCGAGTAAAATTGTTCTCTGGTTTTGAGTAAAATTGTTCTCTGTTTCGAAGTAAAAATTGTTCTCTGGTTCTGAGTAAAATTGTTCTCTGGTTTCGAGTAAAATTGTCCTCTGGTTTCGAGTAAAATTGTTCTCTTGTTTCGAGTAAAATTGTTCTCTGTTTTCGAGTAAAATTGTGTCTCTGTTTCGAGTAAAATGTTCTCTGTTTTGAGTTTTAAAATTGTTCTCTGTTTTCGATAATTGGTCTCTTTTCGAAGTAAAATGTAAATATTGTTCTCTGGTTTTGATAAAATTGTCCTCTAGTTTGAGTAAAATTAAAAATTGCTCTCTGGTTTTGAGTAAAATTGTTCTCTGGTTTTTGAGTAAAATTGTTCTCTGGTTTCGGTAAAATTGTCCTCTGGTTTGGTAAACTCTGGTTTTAAAATCTGTTTCTCTGGTTTTGAGTAAAATTGTTCTCTGGTTTTGAGTAAAATTGTCCTCTGGTTTTGAGTAAAATTGTCCTCTGTTTTCGAGTAAAATTGTTTTCTGGTTTCGAGTAAAATTTTTCTCTGGTTTTGAGTAAAATTTTTTCTCTGGTTTGAGTAAATTTGTTTCTCTGGTTTCGAGTAAAAAATTGTTCTCTGGTTTTGAGTAAAAATTGTCTTCTGGTTTTGAGTAAAATTGTTCTCTGGTTTTGAGTAAAATTGTCCTCTGGTTTTGAGTAAAATTGTTCTCTGGTTTTGAGTAAAATTGGTTCTCTGGTTTTGAGTAAAATTGTCCTCTGGTTTTGAGTAAACTGTCCTCTGGTTTTGAGTAAAATTGTTCTCTGATTTTTTTCGAGTAAAATTGTCCTCTGGTTTTGAGTAAAATTGTCCTCTGGTTTTGAGTAAAATTGTCCTCTGGTTTTGAGTAAAATTGTCCTCTGGTTTTGAGTAAAATTGTTCCTCTGGTTTTGAGTAAAATTGTCTCTGGTTTTGAAAAAATTGTCCTCTGGTTTTGAGTAAAATTGTTTCGATTTTTCAGTCCTCTGGTTTGGTTTGAGTCCTCTGGTTTTGAAGTAAAATTGTCCTCTGGTTTTTGAGTAAATTTGTCTCTGAGTAAAATTGTTCTCTGATTTTCAGTAAAATTGTCCTCTGGTTTTGAGTAAAATTGTTCTCTGGTTTCGAGTAAAATTGTTCTCTGGTTTCGAGTAAAATTGTCCTCTGGTTTTGAGTAAAATTGTTCTCTTTGGTTTTTGAGGAAAATTGTTTTTTGGTTTTGAGTAATTGTCCTCTGGTTTGAGGAAAATTGTTTTCTGGTTTGAGTAAAATTGTCCTCTGGTTAAGGTAAATTGTTCTCTGGTTTCGAGTAAATTGTCCTCTGGTTTTTGAGTAAAATTGTTCTGGTTTTGAGTAAAATTGTTCTCTGGTTTTGAGTAAAATTGTCCTCTGGTTTTGAGTAAAATTGTTCTCTGGTTTTGAGTAAAATTGTTCTCTGGTTTGAGTAAAATTGTCCTCTGGTTTTGAGTAAAATTGTTCTCTGGTTTTGAGTAAAATTGTCCTCTGGTTTTGAGTAAAATTGTTTTCTGTTCTAAAATGGTTTTTCTGGTTTTGAGTAAAATTGTCCTGGTTTGAGTAAATTGTTCTTCTGGTTTTGAGGAAAATTGTTTTCTGGTTAATTGAGTAAAATTGTCCATCTGGTTTTGAGTAAAATTGTTTTTTCTGGTTTTTAAATAATAAATGTTCTCTGGTTTTGAGTAAAATTTGTCCTCTGGTTTTGAGTTAAAATTGTTCTCTGATTTTCAGTAATATTGTCCTCTGGTTTTGAGTAAATTGTCCTTTGCGTTTTTGAGTAAAATGTCCTCTCTCTGGTTTGAGTAAAATTGTCTGTTGGTAAGTTGAGTAATAATTGTTCGTTTGAGTAAAATTGTCCTTCTGGTTTGTTGAGTAAAATTGTTCTCTGGTTTGTGAGTAAATGTCCTCTGGTTTTGAAGTTAAAATTGTTCTCTGGTTTTAGAGGAAAATTGTTTTTCTGGTTTTGAGTAAAATTGTTCTCTGGTTTTGAGTAAAATTTTTTCCTTTGGTTTTGAGTAAGAAATTGTTCTCTGGATTTTGAGTAAAATTGTTCTCTGAGTTTTGAGTAAAATTGTTCCTCTGGTTTGAGTAAAATTGTTCTCTGGAATTTTTGAGTAAAAATTGTTCTCTGGTTTCGAGTAAAATTGTCCTCTGGTTTTGAGTAAAATTGTTCTCTGGTTTTGAGTAAAATTGTTCTCTGGTTTCGAGTAAAATTGTTCTCTGGTTTCGAGTAAAATTGTCCTCTGGTTTGAGTAAAATTCGTTCTTTCTGGTTTCGAGTAAAAATTGTCCTCTGGTTTTGAGTAAAATTGTTCTCTGGTTTTGAGTAAAATTGTTCTCTGGTTTTGAGTAAAATTGTTCTCTGGTTTTGGAGTAAAATTGTTCTCTGGTTTTGAGTAAAATTGTCTCTGGTTTTAATTGTTCTCTTAGTAAAAATTGTTCTACTGGTTTTAAATTGTTCTCTGGTAATTGTTCTCTGTTTTAGTAAAATTGTAAAATTGTTCTCTGGTTTGAGTAAAATTGTTCTCTTGGTTATAATGAGTAAAATTGTTCTCTGTTTTCGAAGGTAAAAATATGATAATCTACTTGGTTTCGAGTAAAATTAGTCCTCTGGTTTTGAGTAAAAATTGTTCTCTGGTTTCGAGTTAAAAATTGTTCTTCTGGTTTCGAAGTAAAATTGTAATCTCTTGGTTCGAGCTACAATTCGTCCTCATGTTTTTGAGATTAAAATTTAATTCAGGTTCTAGTAATCTATTAAGAATTCTCTAGGTTTTATCTAGCAGTGTGTATCTCTGGATTCGGGTACTTTTTGTTCTTAATTAGTATTGAACTGTTATTAAATTCCCCTAGTTATCGGAATAATTTATTGTTTTCTGGTTTCGAGAAATATTCTGTTCTCTGTTTTTTATAATAAATTCTTTTTATCTAACTTTCGAGTATTTTTTGTTCTCTAAGTTTTCAATAATATTACTGTAATCTGGGTAATCGAATATTATAATATTTTTGGTATACGAAGATAATCTAGTTCTCTAGATTTTGCAAATATTCTTGCTCTCTTGGTTTCGAGTATTCTTTTATCTCTGGTTTCGAGTATTCTTGTTCTCTGGTTTCAAATATTCTTGTTCTCTGGTTTCGAAAATATTATTGTTCTCTGGTTTCGAGTATTCTAGATTCCCACCGGTTGCAAATATTCTTGCTCTCTGGTTTTGAATATTCTTTTATCTCTGGTTTCGAGTATTATTGTTCCCCGGTTTCAAATATTCTTGCTCTCTGGTTCAAATTCTTTTTCTCTGTTTCGAGATATTATTGTTCCCAGGTTTCAAATATCTGCTCTCTGGTTTCGATATTCTTTTTTCTCTGGTTTCGAGTATTCTTATTCCCCGGTTTCAAATATTTCTTGCTCTTCTGGTTTCGAATATTCTTTTTCTCTGGTTTCGAGTATTCTTAATTCCCCGGTTCAAATATTCTTGCTCTCTGGTTTCGAATATTCTTTTTCTCTTGGTTTCGAGTATTCTTGCTCTCTGGTTTCGAGTATTATTGTTCTCTATCCACTTCAAGGCTCCGGCACAGCAGACGATCCCCACCGGAAGTCAGGTCTCTTTTCGAACTGATTTCAGGTTGTTCACAATTTCAGTCACTTTTCTACCACTTTCGTCACTTTCGTCATTTCGTCACCCTCCACTTTCCTCACTTTTTATCGTCACTTTTCGTTACTTTACGTCAAATTTTTTCGTCACTTACTCACTTTCGATCATTCTCGTAATTTTCGTCACTTCCTCACTTTTCCTCACCTTTTCGTCATTTTCCTCATTTTCCTCACTTTCGTCAC